CCATATATACTTATAATGGACACAATATACACTTATAATGGACACAATATATACTGATAATGGACGCCATATATACTTATAATGGACGCCATATATACTTATAATGGACGCCATATATACTTATAATGGACGCCATATATACTTATAATGGGCGCCATATATACTTGTACTGAACACGAAGAAAAACACGTCTTTTGTTTTAGGCAGCAGTTGCCAGGTAGTCTTATGGTATTTAATTTAACCATCACATGTGTAAGATATTTTTAATTGATTACGAATCATACACGAAGACCACAGATTAAGATAATAAAGCAGAAATATAATTAAATATACAAATATGCTTATATATCAACGCTCTTCTTGCCGAATAAGGCAAGGGCAAATTTGTGTATGCAATCATTTCGCAAAAAAATCATTATGAACCTAATGAAAAAATATATTTCATTGTGTTCGTTTATTATTAAATTATTGTAAACTTATCTAAATATATTTAGTTGGATTAGGCTAAATTAAATTTCGCTTGTTATAATACGGTTAGGTAAGTTTTCTAAGGTTCTTTAGGTACAAAATTATTAATTTTTACAGTAACATAAATGAAAATATATATCTTTAAATGTATAAGAGAAAATTTTAGAAAGGACTTAATTTTAAATGAGTTCTTGCTAATTGACCAATTTTACCTATTCGGACGTAACACCACCCAACACACCTCACAAATCATATTTGTATATTCTATATATATATATATATATATATATATATATATATATATATATATATATATATATATCAGGGATAGATGAAAAGCTGTAAGCGCTCACCTGCAACTGGCTGCCTTGGATCAACAGTCTAGCATTGTGCTAGGCGCCAAGTATTGTCATGGGTGAGAATGGTATAGCACTGCGTACTTGTCTCAGTTACGTTAGGTTCGAGTCTCCTTCGGACTAGAGAGATCAGTTTGTTTGTGTATATTCGCTTGCACTTGCGAATAAAAATAAATAATAATATATATATATATATATATATATATATATATATTATATAATTCGTGCCGAATAGGCAGAACTTGCGATCTTGGCTTAAATAGCAACGCTCATCTTGCCATATAGGACAAGTGAAAATTTGTGTATGCAATAATTTCGCCAAAATCATTCTGAACCTAACGAAAAAAATATATTTGATTGTGTTTGTTTAGTACTAAATTATTGTAAACGTATTTAAAATATATTTAGTTGGGTTAGGCTAAAATAAATTACACTTGTTATAATAAGGTTAGGTAAGTTTTCTAAGATTCTTTTGGTCCAAAATTATAAATTTTTACATTAACATTGATGAAAAAATATATCTTTAAACGTATAAGAGAAAATTTCAGAAAGGACTTAATTTTAAACGAGTTCTTGCTTAATTGCACCAGTTTTAAATATTCGAATGAACATATATATATATATTATATATATATATTATATATATATATATATATAATTTATATATATATATAAAAATATATATATATATATATATATATTATTATATATATATATATATATACATATAATATTATAATAAGCTCGGTAATAACCCATATGAAGACAGAATCTCAGGACATCAATTGATTTTGATATTTTGACCCCCATGGAGTGAGCATTGAAGGAGAGAGAGTCTGGATCCAGACTTGTAAGTTCACACGGCAGTCATGTGAGCAGTCACAGCCCATAAGAACCAACAACAGTAGTTCAGTCTTGTGAGCCATCGTAGCCCATTAGAACCAACAACAACAGTGAGCCGTCGTAGCCCATAAGAACCAACAACAACCGTAGTTTAGTCCTGTGAGCCGTCGTAACCCTCATGAACCACCAACTACAACAGTTCAGTCATGTGAGAGGGTACACAGGTGACACAGTAAGTTAGCGTCCGGATCAGTTCCAGGCAGCTCCCAGGATCATAACATCTCGTCACCACAGAGTCACAGGCGACCCTATCTCCTGTACACAGAAAGTATATCGCTATCGGAATGTACAGTAGTGTGCAAATTAATTGGCACAGGAGTAAATTTTGTGATTATATAATAATATGTCTTAGTCTCTGGCAACGATCGAGCTGTGGTGTTACCCTGCTATTCGTAAGCGCTACAACAGCTGTTGTTCTGTAAGGCTATTCCAGCAAGCGTGCAAGTATTGTAGCTTTTAGAAAAACTGATATGAGTATCAGACATCGTCGAAAATATCAACCCTAGCAAAGTCAACTGTAGGTTGGATTCTGAAGAAAGTTGATGACGCTAGTGATTGTGAAGCGCTGCGTCGAAGATGTGAAAGAAAATGCAAGATAACACTTCACGATGACAAGGTTGTCATAAGAAATAGCATAAAGGATCCCAAGAAAGCCAGCAAAGATCTACAGAGAGATTTGGCTTCAGCTGGCGTAAATATTTGATTCTTTAACTGTTCGACAAAAGCTCCTAGAAGATGGCAGAACTGCCAGAAAGCCGGTAAAGAATGCTAATGACTACTACTATGAAGAAAAAAATGGCTCTGGTGGGCACTCGATCATGAGGGATGGACGACTAATGAATGGAAAAAAGTTACATTTGCAGATTAGGCACATTCTGAAGTACATGGGTACATATCAGTGGTAGTGAGATGGAGAAAAAGCAAACCTCTTCGGAATGGACTCATTCAAGTAACGTCAAAACATCCACCTGAGATATTTTGGGGTAGTTTTACTGCTAAAGGCCCTAGACGGCTTAGTATTGTTGAGGGAACAATGAACAGTGATAAATACAAGGCAATCCTGGCAGCTCATTTGCTTCCCATTGTGAATAGAGACTTTCCTGACAGAGAAGGCATTTTCCAGCAGGATCTTGCTCTATGCCACACTTCCAGAAAATGCTGACAAGAGAGTGGGTTAAACGTTCTACATTGGCCTGGAAACTCTCCTGACCTCAACCCAATTGAGAATCTATGGGCAATCACCAAACGAAGGATCGTGAAACAGGACTGTTCAACTGTGGAGAAGCTAATTGCTGCTGTTAGTAGGACCAGGTACCATGACGAAGAACTTGCGAAAATGTGTTCAACATAGTCGATTCTACGCTAAAGTGTGTAGCAATGCTTATAAAAACAAAGGATAGTCATATTTCTTATTAATCAATTATGTCACATCATTGCAGTGTATTGTTTAAATAAACATTAATTTTCCTAATAAATGTGTTAATTCATCACTATTCTATTTAATATGCACACTACTGTCACCAGAGCAGTATTTTGCGACACATGGTGTCTATTACTTAAGTAACAATGTGTGTTACAATGAATCCCCAATCCCCTGGCCTCCGCCCCATAGACGTGTATCCAATTATTCACTCTTTGGCTCACTCAGTATATTACTTTACTGGTTGCATGACCCACTAGGGTGTGTGGCTCCCCCGTGAACGCAATTGCAAGGTTTATCTCCTTTACGTATTCTCTCTTCTACCTCACCAGTGGCCTAGATTGAGCGAAACGTGTCTCCTCACCTTTAATTCCTGCTGCGTCAGGTTGCAAGGCGAAATTTTGCTAACAGAATGTATCTGTCGTTTACAGATAAGCTTTTAAAATTAAGATGAACAAAACAGAAGTTCACGTATGAACGATCCGTGTAGTGAAAGCTTAGAGGTATAGTTAATCTTTGTGACAACGTCAAGCTTCGCGAGAAGCTTTATCCAGTCTTAACAAAAGCTTTCATTTCACTGGTAATCGGAACTGAATAAAAACCGAGAGAGATGGGCGATCTCAGTGATCATGGTGGGCTGGTCACACACACACACACACACACACAAACACACACACACACACACACACACACACACACACACACACACACACACACACACACACATACACATACACACAACAGCTGACATACACCACTCTAACCGGATGCCATTTTCTATAGGAGGGCTTAACGTTAATACTCTTGTTGAAAACCAATTCACTTCTCATTTACTGTTAGCGTCGACACTGATAGGTCGTTTATAACTGGAGCATCTGGTCTGTGGAACGAGGAAGGGGGGGAAGGGGGAAGTATGGAAAGGGAGGAAGAGGAGAGAAAAAATGTGGTAAAGGTGGATAGGGGAAATTGAATGAGTCAGGGAGAGACGCGGAGCTAACCTTAGGAATAGTAGATAGGGAAAGGAGAGATAAGAGAGTCGGGTAAAAGGGGAGAGAGAGAGAGAGAGGAATAAAAAGAGATGGGATAACTGAGAGGTATAGAGATGAAGGTAAGAAGCGACACAGTGAGCTCTGAGCTGAGCCTGGGTAGCATGAAGATAAGGAGGAGCGTTGTAGTGAGCTCTGAGTTGAGCCTGGGTAGCTCAGGTATTGATTAATGGTGTGGTGCTCTGATCTATGTTCACCCGTCACACACACACTAGGATTTGCAAGCTGCTACCCCATGATAAATACTGTGTGAGTTGTGGTGGGTGGTGGTGATGGTGGCGGTGCTGGTGATGGTGGTGTAACAGTGAGTGATGGTGTCGGTGCTGGTGGTGGTGGTGTAACAGTGAGTGATGGTGGCGGTGCTGGTGGTGGTGGTGTAACAGTGAGTGATGGTGGCGGTGCTGGTGGTGGTGGTGTAACAGTGAGTGATGGTGGCGGTGCTGGTGGTGGTGGTGTAACAGTGAGTGATGGTGGCGGTGCTGCTGGTGGTGGTGTAACAGTGAGTGATGGTGACGGATGAGATGAGAGACATCTACTGAGTGAGGCAGTGCTACAAGCTGGTAGAATGAACTGAGAGAGAGAGAGAGAGAGAGAGAGACAGGAAAGGATGGAAGAAAAAAAAAGAGAGGGAGGGGAAAGAGAGACGGGACTAACGAAAAAAAATTAGACAGACATGTAAGTTAAATACCGAGAAACAACGAAGAAGGGAGAGAAACAGAAGCTGAGGAAGGGAGGGAAAGTATAATGGAGAGAAGGTTGTGTACGGGAGAAAACTAGAAAAAATATGAGTCGAGGAAGGATGATGAGATGAGGGAGATGGAGGAGCTGAGGAAGACAAGAGCTGAGGAAGATAGAGAAGCTGAGGAAAATAGAGGAGCTGAGGAAGTTAAAGGAGCAGAGGAAGATAAAGGAGTTGCGGAAGGTTAAGTAGCTGAGGAAGGTTAAGGAGCTGAGGAAGGTTAAGGAGCTGAGGAAGGTAGAGAGGCTGAGGAAGAGAAAGAAAAACAGAGAGACGGGAGGGAGGGAGGGAGGGAGGGAGGGAGAGAAGGACATATTGAATTACTCCCTGAGATGACTCTGTCAAAACCGTAATTGCATCAGAGCTTCTGGTGATGAGTTGCCAAGGCTTCCCACTTTCTTTGTAAACCGTTTTCTTTGTATCGTTTTCTTTGATTCGTTTTCTTTGATTGGATTTGTTTGGCTCGTTTTCTTTATTTCTTTTTTATTTCGTTTTCTTTGATTCATTTTACTCCCGTTTTCGACGTTTCGTTTACTTGGAGACAAACACACACACACACATATACACACACACACACACACGCGTCACCACAACCACTACATCACGACCAATATCACCACTACATCTCCTCGCCACTAGTACAACCACCCACAACCACCACCACCCTCAACAACCACCACCTTTAACCACTACCACCCTCAACCACCACCACCACCCCCAACCACCACCACACCCTCAGCCCCCACCACCACCACCTCAACCACCACCACCCTCAACCACCCCCCTCAGCCACCACCACCACCCTCAACCACCACCACCTTAACCACCATCACCCTCAACCACCACCACCTTTAACCACTACCACCCTCAACCACCACCACCACCCTCAACCCCCACCACCACCCTCAGCCCCCACCACCACCACCCTCAACCACCACCACCACCACCACCACCCTCAAACCACCACCCTCAACCACCCACCACCCTCAACCACCCTCAACCACCACCACCACCACCCTCAACCACCACCCTCAACCACCACCACCACCCTCAACCACCACCACCATCAACCACCACCACCTTTAACCACTACCACCCTCAACCACCACCACCACCCTCAACCACCACCACCACCCTCAAACCGCCACCACCACCACCTCAACCAACCCCCACCACCACCTTAACCACCACCACCACCCTCAACCACCACCACCACCCTCAACCACCACCACCCTCAACCACCACCACCACCCTCAACCACCACCCTTTTAACCACCATCACCCTCAAACACCACCACCCTCAACCACCACCACCTTCAACTACCACCACCCTCAACCACCACCACCACCTCAACCACCACCACCCTCAACCACACCACCCTCAACCACCACCACCCCTTTAAACCCCCACCACCTTCAACCACCCCCACCCTCAACCACCACCACCTTCAATTACCACCACCTCAACCACCACCACCCTTAACCACCACCACCTTCAACCACCACCACCCTCAACCCCCACCACCGCCCCAACCCCCACCACCCCCAACCCCACCACCACCACCATATTAACAAGGCAACATGGTTAACATGTTAGCTTGGATTAATCCTTTGATGTGTTCCTGAGGGGCTTACAGCGGATTACAGGCGATTACTGGACGCCAGGGGGCACCCGGGCAGGATTTAGGCTCACGGAGGGCGGGATTATGAGTGGACGGGCGAAGGAAGGACGGAGGATGGGAGAAGGAAGGACGGAGGATGGGAGAAGGAAGGACGGAGGATGGGAGAAGGAAGGACGGAGGATGGGAGAAGGAAGGACGGAGGATGGGAGAAGGAAGGACGGAGGATGGGAGAAGGAAGGACGGAGGATGGGAGAAGGAAGGACGGAGGATGGGAGAAGGAAGGACGGAGGATGGGAGAAGGAAGGACGGAGGATGGGAGAAGGAAGGAGATGAGAGCGTGAGATAGGCGGAAGAGAGGTTCTTGTATCGTAAACCAGAGTAAACGTGTCTTGTTGTTGGTGTTATGACATCCAGTGGTGTGCCAGTGGTGTGCCAGTGGTGTGCTAGTGGTGTGCCAGTGGTGTGCCAGTGGTGTGCTAGTGGTGTGCCAGTGGTGTGCCAGTGGTGTGCCAGTGGTGTGCCAGTGGTGTGCCAGTGGTGTGCCAGTGGTGTGCCAGTGGTGTGCTAGTGGTGTGCCAGTGGTGTGCCAGTGGTGTGCTAGTGGTGTGCCAGTGGTGTGCTAGTGGTGTGCCAGTGGTGTGCCAGTGGTGTGCTAGTGGTGTGCCAGTGGTGTGCCAGTGGTGTGCTAGTGGTGTGCCAGTGGTGTGCCAGTGGTGTGCCAGTGTGCCAGTGGTGTGCTAGTGGTGTGCAGTGGTGTGCCAGTGGTGTGCTAGTGGTGTGCCAGTGGTGTGCCAGTGGTGTGCTAGTGGTGTGCCAGTGGTGTGCCAGTGGTGTGCTAGTGGTGTGCCAGTGGTGTGCCAGTGGTGTGCTAGTGGTTGCCAAATGGTGTGCCAGTGGTGTGCTAGTGGTGTGCCAGTGGTGTGGCCAGTGGTGTGCCAGTGTGCCAGTGGTGTGCAAGTGGTGTGCCAGTGGTGTGCCAGTGGTGTGCCAGTGGTGTGCCAGTGGTGTGCCAGTGGTGTGCCAGTGTGCCAGTGGTGTGCAAGTGGTGTGCCAGTGGTGTGCTAGTGGTGTGCCAGTGGTGTGCCAGTGGTGTGCCAGTGGTGTGCAAGTGGTGTGCAAGTGGTGTGCCAGTGTGCCAGTGGTGTGCAAGTGGTGTGCCAGTGGTGGCTAGTGGTGTGCCAGTGGTGTGCCAGTGGTGTGCCCGTGGTGTGCCAGTGGTGTCCAGTGGTGTGCCAGTGGTGTGCCAGTGGTGTGCAAGTGGTGTGCAGTGGTGTGCCAGTGGTGTGCCAGTGGTGTGCCAGTGGTGTGCCAGTGGTGTGCTAGTGGTGTGCCAGTGGTGTGCCAGTGGTGTGCCAGTGGTGTGCCAGTGGTGTGCTAGTGGTGTGCCAGTGGTGTGCCAGTGGTGTGCCAGTGGTGGGTATCAGTAGTTAAATAACCACTGGTGAACCGATGTTGGGCATCATGTGACAGAGCCATCTGCTGACACATACCTGGAGGGTGTTCTGGGGGTTAGCGCCCCCACTGCCTTCAAGACCGCTGCCTCCAAACTCACTGCCTCCACACCCACTGCCTCCACATCCACTGCCTCCACACCCACTGCCTCCACATCCACTGCCTCCACACCCACTGCCTCCACATCCACTGCCTCCACACTCACTGCCTCCACACCCACTACCTCCACACCCACTGCCTCCACACCCACTGCCTCCACACTCACTGCCTCCACACCCACTACCTCCACATCCACTGCCTCCACACCCACTGCCTCCACATCCACTGCCTCCACACTCACTGCCTCCAAACTCACTGCCTCCACACCCACTGCCTCCACATCACTGCCTCCACACCCACTGCCTCCACATCCACTGCCTCCACACTCACTGCCTCCACACCACTACCTCCACACCCACTGCCTCCACACCCACTGCCTCCACATCCACTGCCTCCACACCACTGCCTCCACACCCACTACCCCTACACTCACTGCCTCCACACTCACTGCCCCCACACCACTGCCTCCACACCCACTACCTCCTACACTCACTGCCTCCACACCCCCTGCCTCCACACCCACTGCCTCCACACCCACTACCTCTACACTCACTGCCTCCACACTCACTGCCTCCACACCCACTGCCTCCACACCCACTGCCTCCACACCCACTTCCTCCCACCCACTGCCTCCACACCCACTACCTCTACACTCACTGCCTCCCCACTCACTGCCTCCAATCCACTCCTCCACACCACTACCTCTACACTCACTGCCTCCACACTCACTGCCTCCAACCCACTGCCTCCACACCCACTGCCTCCACACCCACTTCCTCCACACCCACTGCCTCCACACCCATACTCTACACTCACTGCCTCCACACTCACTGCCTCCACACCCACTTCCTCCACACCCACTGCCTCCACACCCACTACCTCTACACTCACTGCCTCCACACCCACTGCCTCCACACCCACTGCCTCCACACCCACTACCTCTACACTCACTGCCTCCACACCCACTGCCTCCACACCCACTACCTCTACACTCACTGCCTCCACACCCACTTCCTCCACACCACTGCTCCACACCCACTTCCTCCACACCCACTGCCTCCACACCCACTACCTCTACACTCACTGCCTCCACACTCACTGCTCCACACCCACTTCCTCCCCACCCACTGCCTCCACACCCACTACCTCTACACTCACTGCCTCCACACCCACTGCCTCCACACCCACTGCCTCCACACCCACTGCCTCCACACCCACTGCCTCCACACCCACTACCTCTACACTCACTGCCTCCACACTCACTGCCTCCACACTCACTGCCTCCACACCACTTCCTCCACACCCACTGCCTCCACACCCACTACCTCTACACTCACTGCCTCCACACTCACTGCCTCCACACTCACTGCCTCCACATCCACTGCCTCCACACCCACTACCTCCACACCCACTACCTCTCACTCACTGCCTCCACACCCACTGCCTCCACACCCACTTCCTCCACACCCACTGCCTCCACACCCACCTCTCGTCTGTCTTTCCATGCATGCCATCTCTTCCCTATTATCATTGACATTTAACATCTCAGAATAATCTTCACCACCTCCGTCTCTCCTCCCGTCATCGCACAACATGTCCTTGTTACTCTCAACTACATGTTCCTATACCCAATGGCTTCGTCTTTAATTCTCTCCCAAAGCGTTTTATTTTCAACAAAATTTTTGAGAGGTTCTTGTTTTCGGGACCTTTCTTTTATTTTTATATGGTAAAACTTTTTAATGTTAAGTTTATCTTTTTTTAGCATAGAGTAGTGGTAGTGCAGAGCGTGCTGGTAGTAGAGTAGCGTAGTGGGAGTTTTAGAGGAGTGGTAGTGTAGCGCAGTAGTGGTTTGTAGTAGAAAGGGAGTGGTAGAGTAGGCAGTAGTGGTGGTTAGTAGAAACAGTGTGGTGTAGTAGAGCAGGGAGTGGTAGTGTTGAGAATAGTGGGAGTAGTAGGGGAGAGTAGTGGGAGTAGTAGCAGCGTTGTGGTAGTAGTAGGCGCAGTAGTTAGTGTAGAGAGTAAAAAATTTTGGTTTGTAAATAGCAGCGTAGTGGTAGTAGTGGCAGTGTGGTAGTAGAGCAGCAGGGGGAGGGGTATAGGGGAGTAGCAGCAGTATGGGTAGTAGTAGCAGGTGGGATGTAGAGAGTAGTGGTAGTGTAGGGAGGGAGTGGTGTAGAGGTATTTGGGAGTGTGCAGCAGTAGTGGTAGTAGTAGAGCAGATTTTGGTAGTAGTAGAGCAGTAGTGGGGTAGTAGGCAGGGGAAAAGCAGTGTGGTAGTAGTGAGCGTATGGGTAGTAGTAGCAGCAGTGTGGTGTAGTTGAGCAGTATGGTAGTAGTAGCGCAGTAGTGGTAGTGTGCAGGTATGGTGTTGTAGCAGCAGTTGTGTAGTATAGGTAGTAGGAAACGTTGGTAGTATGCAGCAGTAGTGGAGTTTAAAATAGCAGTAGTGGGTGTAGTGGTAGTTTGGGAGTAGTAGCGCGTTGTGGAGTATAGCAGCGTAGTGGTAGTTTGCACAGGGATGGTGTAGTAGTGCAGTAGTGGTTTTGAAGCAGCGTTGGGGGGTAGTAGTAGTGCAGTAGGTGGTAGTAGTGTAGGTAGTGGTAGTAGCAGAGCAGTGTGGTGTTAGTGCAGTAGTGGTGTAGAGCAGCAGTTGGTAGTAGTAGTAGCAGTGGGTAAGGAGCAGCAGTGGGTATGTAGTTGCAGTGTGGTAGTAGTAGAGCAGTTGGTAGTGAGTAGAGTATGTAGTGGCAGCAGTGCTGGTGTAGTGTAGCAAAGGGGGAGAACTGGGTTTGGGGAAAAGTAGCGCGTATGGGAGTAGTGTGCAGTAGTGGGGTTTTGTAGCAGCGTTGGTTAGTGTAGCATGTGGTATAGTAGCAGCTTCTGGTAGTAGTAGTAGCGTAGTGTAGTATAGCGCAGTAGTGGTAGTAGTGAGAGTAGTGGTATAGTAGCAGCGTAAGTGGTAGTAGTTAGCGTAGTGGTATAGTAGCAGAGAGGGGTTAGTATTTTGGGGGTGTGGTTTAGTAGAGCGTTGGGAGTAGTAGAGCGTAGTGGTAGTAGCGCAGGTTTTTAGTAGTAGTAGCAGTAGTGGTAGCAGCAGCAGCAGTAGGGATGTAGTAGCGCAGCAGTAGTGGTAGTAGCAGCAGCAGTAGTGGTAGTAGTAGCAGCAGTAGTGGTAGCAGCAGCAGCAGTAGTGGTAGTAGCAGCAGCCGTACTAGGTAGTATTAGGCAGCAGAGTAGTGGTTGTAGCAGCAGAAGTAGTGGTGTAGCAGCAGCTGTAGTAGTGGTAGTAGCAGCAGCTGCAGCAGTGGTAGTAGCAGACAGCAGTACTGGTAGCATTGCAGCAGGAGTGGTAGTAGCAGCAGCAGCAGTAGTGGTAAGTTATGTAGAGCAGCCAGTAGCAGCAGTAGCAGTAAGTAGTTAGTTAGTAGCAGCAGCAGTAGTGGTGGTGTAGAAGCAGAGAGCAGGCAGAGGCAGTAGTGGTTGTAGCAGCAGCAGTAGGGGTAGTAGCAGCAGCGCAGTAGTGGTAGTAGCGCTGCAGCAGTAGCGGTAGTCCAGCAGTTGGTAGTGTAGTAGGCAGCCCAGCGCAGTTAGTGGGCGTAGTAGCAGCAGCAGATAGTAGTGGTACTAGCAGCAGCGCAGTAGCGGTAGTAGGCAGTAGTAGTGGTTGTAGGAGCAGTGTGGTAGTAGCAGCAGCTGCAGCAGTAGTGGTTAGTAGTGGTAGTACGTAGCAGCAGCAACATCAGTAGTGGGTTTGTTGCAAGGCAGCAGCAGTAGTGGTTTAGTAGCAGCAACAGTTGTGGTAGTAGTAGCAGCAACAGTGTGTTAGCAGTAGCCAGACAGTAGTGGTTAGTAGTAGTAGGCAGCAAAACAGTAGTGTAGAGTAGTTAGCAGCTACAGTGTGGTAGTTAGTAGCAGCAACTGTAGTGGTACTAGCAGCAGCAGCAGTAGCGGTAGTAGCAGTAGTAGTGGTAGTAGCAGCGTAGTGGTAGTTAGCAGCAAGCAGCAGCAGTAGTGGGTAAGCTTGTAGCAAGCAGCATCGCAAGTAGTGGTTAGTAGCTGCTGCAGCAGTTGTGGTAGTAATAGCAGCAAACTGTAGTGGTAGTGTAGCAGCAACAGTAAAGTGGCAATAGTAGCAGCAACCAGTAGTGGTAGTATGCAGCACAGTATAGGTAGTAGTAGCAGCAACAGTAGTGGTAGTAGTAGCAGCAACAGTAGTGGTAGTAGTAGCAGCAACAGTAGTGGCAATAGTAGCAGCAACAGTAGTGGTAGTAGTAGCAGCAACAGCAGTGGTAGTAGTAGCAGCAACAGTAGTGTAGGTAGTAGCAGCAACAGTAGTGGTAGTAGTAGCAGCAACAGTAGTGGTAGTAGTAGCAGCAACAGTAGTGGTAGTAGTAGCAGCAACAGTAGTGGTAGTAGTAGCAGCAACAGTAGTGGTTAGTAGTTTCAGAACAGTAAGTGGTAGTAGTAGCAGCAAACAGTAGTGTCAGTTGTAGCAGGCAAACATTAGGCGGTTAAGTAGTTTAGTAGCTGCTGTAGTGTTAGCAGCAGCAGCATTAGCACCACGCACCACCAAATCCAGACTCACAGCACCACCAGCACCACCACATCACCAGCACCACCTGCACCACCAGCACCCAGCACCACCTGCACCACCACCTGCACCAACCACCTAGCACCCCCAACCACATCACCAGCACCACAGCACCAACCACAGCACCTCCCACCTGCACCCCAACATCACCAGCACCAACCAGCACCACCACCATCTCCAGCTCCACCACCCCTCCACCAGCACCACAACACCACCACCAGCACCACCACCAGCACCACAGCACCACACCAACCACCACCAGCAACCACCACCACCACCTGCCCCACAACCACCACACCACCACCACCACCCCACCACCACCACCACCACCACCACCACCACCACCACCAGCACCACCAGCACCACCACAACACAGCACCACCAGCACCACCGCACCACACCAACACCACCTTCACCACCACCAGCACCACCAGCACCACCAGCACCACCAGCACCACCACTGGCCTCTATCGCCACTCTAACATAAGTCACATTTTTACTTAGCGTTAAGATTCGATAAGATTTTCCACACGGCTTCACTAATCACCAAAAATTACCGCTTAGTGTCGGGAAGTTATAAGGACGAGAATGCAGGGTTGGGCAGGGAGAGTGACGACGTTACAGGGTGTGGCAAATCAATCTGTGTATCAGTTTGGTAATCCTATGGTAGTGATCATGGTGAGGATTCACCACAACTCGGCCATTATATTACCGGCTGTCACCCCCATAACACTAGTAACATATACTCGAAATAATTATATTATATATATATATTATATAATATATATATATATATATATATATATATATATATATATATATATATATATATATATATTAATATATATATATATATATATAAAATGTCGTGGCCGAATAGGTAACACTTGTGATTTTGGCCTCACTTCTTGCCGAATAAGGCAAGCGAAAATTTGTATATGCAATAATTTCGCAAAAATCATTCTGAACCTAAAGGGAAAAATATATTTCATTGTGTTTGTTTATTATTCAATTACTGTAAACTTATTTAAAATATATTTAGTTGGATTAGGCTAAATTAAATTGTGCTTGTTGTAATAAGGTTAGGTAAGTTTTCTAAGGTTCTTTTGGTATAAAATTTTTAATTTTTACATTAACATAAATGAAAAAAACTATATCCTTAAATGTACAAGAGAAAATTTTAGAGAGGACGGAGGTCATGACCCTGACCTGAGGAGATCATGACCCTGACCTGAGGAGATCATGACCCTGACCTGAGGAGATCATGACCCTGACCTGAGGAGACCATGACCCTGACCTGAGGAGATCATGACCCTGACCTGAGGAGATCATGACCCTGACCTGAGGAGATCATGACCCTGACCTGAGGAGATCATGACCCTGACCTGAGGAGACCATGACCCTGACCTGAGGAGATCATGACCCTGACCTGACATGACCTGCAGTTAACGTATTTCTTATTTCCTACCGCAGGCGCTGACGACTTCGTCAGGTCACCTCGTGACTCCTGCAGCAGCACAAGCAGTCCGGTGGGGTCGCCGCCCCCTCGCTCCCCCTCCACCACGCCCCCCGCCGCCCACGCCACGCCCATGATCACGCCCGCGCCCTTCCCCCCTGCCCTCACCATGCACCACCACCAGGTGGGTCCGGTAATCTGACTCTCTTTTCTTGAATGCGGGCGATGGGCTCTTGATTCAAGGGACCGGAGCTGCCCTCTCCCTTCCTCGGATCAAGCCTAATTAAATGTGATTTATATTAATTGTAGTTTTTACATCATTTACAAGGATTTTTAGTTACCGGAAAAAATAATTCCGGAATATTTTTTTTTAATAATTTCTACGACCAAGAGTTGAATGGAAGACCCATTTTTGGAACAAACTCTGCTGGAACGTTTCGCTCTTTGTGGAGCTTTATCAAGTCATGTTTTCCTCTGTGTAGAGTTTTATCAAATCACACAGAGAAACGTAGTCCCAGTGTACGCTCGTATGAAGAAAGAACACTGCAACAGGCCTACTGGCCTATGCGAGGCAGCTCCAATTCTCCCACCGTTCTGGATCCTTCATTATTATCAGATGTTTGACATTTGGGTCCAACATGTAATTGTAACACAGAAAGACGAGTATGAATCCTTTTACAGTGAAGCCATTGGCACGGAGTGGATTGATGCAGCAGTTGTAGAGATGGTCACATGTGGGTGGGGTCCCCACTAGTGGCAGTAGGTCACTATTACCGCTGTCACTGGTTCCATTACTAATCACCAACTTCCTTAACGGCAGCAAGGGGGATGTCTCCGTGGCTCGATTGCTGTGGGACGTACCCCACTTAACTCTAGTGGGTTCCTCCCACATGTGGCCACGTCTGCTACTGCTACATCTCTTTTATTGGCTCCACTGTAAAAGGCTCCGTTATCATGTCTCTGTTAGATTTATCAAGCCCCTGGTGGGCGAAACTTCTCTTAATAAAGGTACCCAAGTGTTACACGAATGTCTTATTCACCAAGTTAATAATAATACGTGTAAGCACACCAGGAGACCAACCTTCATTTATGCATGAGTTGTTGCTCTCAGTGTGCTGACATCTAGAGAGACAGAGTCGTCAACATACACACACAGTGTCAGAAGTGAAGGTAACTTAACACAACACTCGACGAAGGCATCGCCTCAAGGGAGGTTCCTTGATGCCAGGGCAGGGGCTCTTGATCTGAGAAACTGAACCTGCGCTTCCCCTTCCTTGGATAGAGCCAGAATGCTTCCCATTTCTCCCCCAGGGTGCAGTATGACCCCCCCCTGAAGGTTTAACGCTCACCCCCTCCATAATGACTCACTGATAATTCCTGACTGTTGAAGTTGCTGCTTGCCAACACTAGTTGATTGCTGCTGCTGCTGCTGCTGCTGCTGCTGCTGAAACTCTAAGAGAATTTCATATGAAAGCAAACAGTTTATTAATAATTTTATTCGAATAAAATAAGTGTGTGTGTGTTGTAAGAGAGAGAGAGAGAAGAGAGAAGAGAGAAAGAGAGAGAGAGAGAGAGAGAGGAGAGAGAGAGAGAGAGAAAGAGAGAGAGAATTAAGTTAAAAAAACAAAACTAACTCAGGGTTCCGGTTTAATTCAATCGCACTAAATTTAAACTTTCGTGTTGGCGTCCTACAGCTCCTCTTGGGACTCACCAGGTTCAGTCATAGTTGGAAGAAAACTTCTATTTCCTTTCAGTTCTTGCTGTGCTAAACATAATGTGCTCACCATCACACTGCACGCATTTGTCACGCCTCTTCTCTCCTCTCAAGCGACAGATATTCTTAATGTCTACTTCGGATTCACATTTTTTTGTTCTGGGAACCCATTTTATGGCAGTCTTTCGACTTTCTATCTTATCCACAGTTTTTTTACATGGACACCAACCCCGTGCTTTTTCCAACTTGGCCTAAGTACGTTGTGAAAAAATTCTGTTATTTTTAACAGAACCTTCTAAAAAATTCCACCGCAGCGAATGAGTTTCTGACATCCCGTTAATTTTCATGATTATTTTAAATATCTCCTCTGTCTGATACTTACAGTATCTCCATCTGTCATCTTCTGCTTTTTTTATTTATTGTTTTCTCCACTTTTCCCAGGTATGGTGTTACGTAACCGAAAATTTCCCTCTTTCCCCTCTTTTCTCCAATTGCCATTTATCTTTTAGGATTTACACTCATTTTTATTATTATTATATATTATTTTATTAAAAAATCAAGGGGAAGCGCTAAACCCGAGGATTATACAGCGCCTGGGGGGTATTGAAGGCATTCAGCTTAATTCGGAACTGGACACAAACCCCAATTTCCCCTAAATCAAGACCCTCACCAACATCAAGGAACCTTCCTTGAGGGACCAGTTTTATTACCTTTCATAAGAGTCATGAAATCATCCCCCAAAAAAAAAAAAAAAAAAAACTTTCACTTGGTTTTTATTCCCCCATGGCAAACTATTTATATAAATAAAAAATCTTAGAAGGACAACCTTCGCTTTCGCTACTCATATTTCACTGACGATATTTTTTTTCCTCTTGTCACTGTTCATATTTAAACAAAACTCCCCCTAACTTCAAAGTTTTTTTTGTTTCCTTCAAATGTTTTGTAACTTAAAGGCATCTAAAAGATTAATACTCAGCTGTTTTTTTTTTTTTAAACTGGGGGCGACATGGCGACATTCATTTGTTTTTTAATGAATTATAATTTTTTCAAGATTGTTCAAAGGGGACAACAAACAGTTTAATAGTCATAAGGACAGTCTGTCTCCCGGGAACTCCCCTTAAGTAAGATAAAAGTTTTCTCTCCCCCTTTTTTTAAAGTGGGGCCAATGTGTGACATTGTCTGTGTTTTTACCTTCACTGTGTCCCGCCCCGCACTCGATCGCTGGGCCTCAGCTCGCGCACGAGGTCCAATTCAACCCCGTAGGGTTTGGGGAAAACATTGGAGTGTTCCATAAACACCTGCGTCCAGTTCCCCCATCAGTAAAAAATAGGTACCGGGGTATTAGTCGACTGGTGGGTGCATCCAACAAAATTTCCCTTTTTTTGCCCGAAATGTCGCAAAAAAGGGGGCTTTCTATATTGTATATGTCTTTGTGTCAGTGGGTCTGATACCATGTACTGTATTGTAGAAAAAAGAATTATGATCGCCCCCCGCCCCCAAAAATAGGTGAAATACACACCCAACTCACAGATCATATACTTCCTTCCAAGACAACGGAAACCGAAAATACAAGGTTTCAGTAAAAACTGGTCCCGGATAATGGAATGAAATCAAAAACAAAAACAAAACTAACTAAAGTAGAAAGACATCACGGAAGATGGGTAATGGGAGAAAGGGAAAATACGAATTTAAGATGCAAAAATATCATGTAAACATAAAAAAAGTTGTTCATCTCGCTTCCACTTTCTCACCAAAAAATGACCGATAGAAGTCCAGTATGTCCAGTAGCCTTCTGCGGCTTTCCCACTCTTACATAATGCTAGAGCAGTGTTTCATAGCCCCTTAAATATCTATAATTAGAAAACCCGGACAGGACCCCGCTAAAAAAAGGGAGGTCGGTTCCAAGACTCGACCCCCAGAAGCACTATGGTGGGTACACACTAGGGAGGAGTGCTTGACGTACGATTTGTTCTTCAGACGGGTCTTCCTCCTGCAGAGATGGAGGATGCGGGGGGGGGAGGGGTTTCCCCCCCTGGAGGACGGTGTCCCACATCGGGCCCACCTGTCCCCCTTTCCTCCCCCCCCTTTCCCCAGGGGGGGGGCCCGGTGCCCCCCTCCCCACCGTCAGCGTGGGTGAGTTTAGCTTTCCCGGGGTATTACCCTTGGAAAATTCCCTGTTGTCCTTCCCATCCTTCTAACTTACTGTTTTGGGTTCCATCCTCTTTATCCCCAGGTCCCTGACCCCCCTTTTTTCTTCCTTTCTAATCTTCCTCCCCTCCCCTTTTCTCTTTCTTTTCTTTTCTTTAATTTTCCCTTCGAAAATTTTTATTATTCGATCAACCCGTAAGGGGCTTATATCGGGTTTTATTCAAGGGGGGAAAAATACTCCCCTTCCCGGCATCGAGACTCCCCCCTAGACAAACAGCAAGGGCGAATCTGACACAGCCGGGGGGGGGCCTATAGAACTTTCACACCTGCACAGGGAGTCCTTTTACTGGGTGGCTTTCTTTATTCAGATTTTCTGTTGCGGAGCGTGGGCGCATGGGGGGGGGGCGGTGGGCGGCGGGGGTCCCCGGGCCCGCAGTGCCTGGGTGTGGGGACCGTCGTCGGGGGAAACACTACGGGATCCTCGCCTGCAACGGGTGCTCAGGGGTTTTTCAAGAGGGCCGTCCGGGGGAAACTTTCTACAGGTGGATTGTTTACAAGTGGAAACGCACTAGATAGACGTCGCCCAAAAGTGAAACTGAAAATTAAAAAAATTTACTCTAGAGGATCTTGAACACCGGTAGTGTAGAAACAAGGGCCCTTTAGTCCCCTTTTTGGGTCTCTTACAAAACGGTTTATGTTGTTTTTCTGCTGTGACCTAAAACCAACCATTCCCCGCCTCTCAACAACAAATGTCATTCACAAATCTTTAATTTTTTTTTCCTTAACGGACTGCGAATCGTAAAGACACGATTGCAAACAAAACCCTACCACGGGGGGGATAGAACCCCGGTCAAAAGTCTCAAAAAAATCCAGTTTTTAACTCTCTGATCGCGGGTTCTTTCCTCCCTGGATTTTTTATTTTCCCACGTGGTGATGAATGGTTTGAAAAAAAGACAAGTTAAGTTGGACACTTATCAATATGGGGAATCTTTATTCAGGAAACGTTTCGCAAAACAGTGGGTTCATCATCCAATACAAGAGGAAGCGTAAGGAGAGGGGGAAATGAGGGAATCAGTCCCTCAACCCGGGGTCGATGTTTTCATCCCCAATCTGTAGAATGACGATAGGGGCCTAGACGTGGCTTATATCTGTGTGAGGTGACGTGAAGCAGATGGAGGCGGGGGCAAATGGACCATCCCAATCAAGTAGGGTCTTCGTCCAAAGGGTTAAAAGTGTTGAAAATTCTTTGTAACAAGACCCCAGATGCTGCCGTGTCTACATTGTGTGAAGGGGTTTTAAAAACCGACAAGTTGAAGATTGAGACACTTTTGCCATATGGGAACAAACAGAAAATTTCGCCACACAGTGGCTTCAACAGTCCAATACAAAGAGGGAAAGGGTAAGGAGAGGAGGAAATGAGAATCATCCCTCAACCCGGAGTCGATGTGTTCAGTCCAACAACTTTAAATTACGCAAGGGCCGTAGAAGGGGTATATACTGTAGGAGGTGACGTGAAGCAGATGGAGCGGGTCATAGTGGTACCATCCCCAAAATCGAATAGTCTTCGTCCAAAGGGTTAACAAGTGTTAAAAATTCTTTGTAACAAGACCCCCTGATGCTCCGTTCTGACAGTTGGATGAATGGGTTTTAAAAACCGACAAGTTTAAGATTGAGCACTTATGCAGATATGGGAATCTTTATTCAGGAAAGTTTCGCCACACGTGGCTTCATCTCCAAACAAAGGGAAGGGGAAGGAGAGGAGGAGAAGAGTAATCAGTCCCCCCAACCGAGTGATTGTTCAGTCCATCAACTTTTTAAAAGTCAGCATAGGGCCCTAGACGTGGGTTTTATACTGTAGTGGTACGTGAAGCAGTGGGGCGGGGGAAGTTACCATCCACTGTCAAGTAGGGCTTTGTCCAAAAGGGTTTAAAAAAAGTGTTAAGAATTCTTTGAACAAGACGGGGCATCCCCTGGGGTCTTTTACAA